TGCTTTAAAAGGCGGTGAACCAGGTGAAGAGAGAAAAATGGGAGACGAAGCAGGAGCCGAAGGTGAAAAGGCTGCGGAAGGAGGAGAAAGAAGGGGAACTGGAGCAACCGCCACGAATTATTCTCGCAGGGAATCAAGATCAGTGGTCGATTCCCGAATGTCAACCTTGCGAAAAGGGACTACAACTACTGCATCTAAATCAGTAGTTGACTCCAGAATGTCCAGTTTAAGAAAGGGAACTAATACTACAGGGGTATCAAAGGCAACGGGATCACGCAAGCAAACAGCTGCTTCTGCAAAGATGACAGAAGAACAAGAAGACTCCATCTCAGGCGATGAAGATGAGTCGCGCACAGAACCCAGTGCAACTGACACCAAAAATTCTGGCGCTCAAAAAGATTCGTCTGCAACTAAAAAGCAGAAAGACTCCAGGGCGACAGAAACAACGGAGACGCGAAAAGCATCGGGAGCTTCAGATACAAACAAGGCAATCAGAGCATCAAGCTCTAATGCTCAACAGAGATCTTCGACCGCAACGGGTACACGGAACACCCGAGGGACTTCTGGCGATAAGAATGCGACCGATTCTCGAAAAGAATCGGGAGCAACCGGAGGACAGCAAGAGCGTGGCGCTTCTGAAACTCGAGTCTCTGGGACCCAGAGAGAATCGAAAATGTCAGGAAACCAGAATGACTCCGGCGTATCTGGATCTCAACACAACTCTAGGGTCTCAGGAACCCAAAAAGACTCTGGCATGTCTGGAACACAACAGAACTCTAAGATATCAGGAACCCAAAAAGGCTCAGGCATGTCTGGAAATCCGAACAATTCTAGGCCTTCAGGAAACCAAAATGACTCTGGCGTATCTGGATCTCAACAAAACTCAAAGGTCTCAGAAACTCAAAAAGACTCTGGCATGTCTGGAACCCAACAGAACTCTAAGATATCAGGAACCCAAAAAGGCTCAGGCATGTCAGGAAATCAGAACAATTCTAGGCCTTCAGGAAACCAAAATGACTCTGGCGTATCTGGATCTCAACAAAAGTCAAGGGTCTCAGAAACCCAAAAAGACTCTGGCATGTCTGGAACACAACAGAACTCTAAGATATCAGGAAACCAAAAAGACTCAGGTATGTCTGGAAATCAGAACAATTCTAGACCTTCAGGAACCCAAAATGACTCTGGCGTATCAGGATCTCAACAAAACTCTAGGGTCTCAGGAACCCAAAAAGACTCAGGCATGTCTGCAACCCAGAAAAATTCTAGGATTTCAGGAGCCCAAAATGACTCAGGCGTACCTGGGTCTCAAAAAAACTCTAGGGTCTCAGACTCGCAAAAAGACTCCGGCGTATCTGGAACCCAAAACAATTCTAGGACATCTGGGACTCAACAGAAGTCAGCTGCATTTGGGAAACAGAAGAATTCGGGAGCATCTAAAAATGAAGACTCAAAAAATTCCGGTGCCCAAAATGATTTAAGGGCATCTGCGGCTCAGAAACAACCTGAGACAGCTGGAGCTAGGCAAGACTCGGGTAATAGTAAAGCCCAGAAAAACACAGGAAAATCTCAAAACCAAGAAGAGTCTGGGGAATCTAACGGTTCAGGTACTGATAACTCGTATACATACGCCACTGACTCAGAAGATGCTACTGAAAAAACAGAAGCTTCTAGTTCTACAGGAATGCAGAATGCTAGCGCTGCAAAGCAATCTAGCGGTGCAAATCCAAAGAAAGCAACTAATGTTTCCGGGGCATCTAGTTCAACAGACATGCGAAAACCCAGTGATGCTAAATATTCAAGAGGTGGAAGTCTGAAAAAAGCCACTAATGTTTCCGGGGCTTCCAGCTCAACAGACATGCAAAAACCAAGTGATGCTAAATATTCAAGAGGTGGAAGTCTAAAAAAAGCCACTAATGTTTCCGGGGCTTCCAGCTCAACAGACATGCAAAAACCAAGTGATGCCAAGTATTCAAGAGGTGGAAGTCTGAAAAAAGCCACTAATGTTTCTGGTGCTTCTAGTTCAACCGATATGCGAAACGCTAGCGACGCCAAACTCTCAAGTGGCGAAAAACCAAAACAGGCTACCAAAGTTTCAGGTATATCTAGAGCATCAACTCAGCAGCCACGAAAAGCAACTTCACAAATTGACGAAGTCAATGAGGACAGTGAATCAACAAACGGAGCGACTATCGACAAATCGTCGTCTGAAGAGCTCTCAGACACAACCCCGACCAAGTGAATTACTAAAATGAAACTCCTACCTTCCTTTTCCATTTTGAAATAGCTTCAGAAAATTATAGCCGACAGACCGGACTGTTGAAAGAATCTTGATTATTTCAAACATGGCTTTCAATTTCATAGTCATTTTTGGGCACTTTTCAGAAAAAATTAGCCATTCTTGTAAAAACGAATCAAAACGTATTTTATTCGTTCGTTCAAAAAATGGTTGCTTTTGGTATGAAAAATTCAGCGGCCAAATAGTATTTTGCAATCAAATACAAAACAAGCTAACTTAATTACAATTTTATGCACATTGAGCCTGCTTTAAACTATGTAAGAACGCGTCCCCTTTGATACAATGCTGATTTAAATTATCCGGACGAAACGAACAACATTTGAAATTTTAAACGCGTTTTTCTCAAATTGGGTCAAGATAAGACGAAAAGTGAAGAAAACAGAAGATGCATACAATCCTACCAAAATTACTATGGTGCAATTTATTTTGTGAAATCGAGAACCAAAATTTTACCCCAAAAATGCTTCATTTTTGCTTTTTTTAGTTAATCAAGAATTTACGCTAAAAACCACCCAGTTAATTGATGGGAAAATTATATCAGATGGAGCCAGCCTCTTTCAAGACGCCAGCAAGTTTTAGAAGTTCAAACATAAATAAAGCCAAACGACAGTTGAAAAAGAGAAATGAACGGCAAGTATACAGAAAAAAAAACACTGACTTATTGAAAAAATCTCAACTTTCGAATTTCTTGAACAATTTATGATTGGTGCTTTTTTGATAACATTAACACAACTAGAGAAAACTGGATTAACAGGTAAAATTTTTATTCCGCTTGAAAACTAGAAAGTTATTTCCACTTATCGAAACTAGAAATTTTTCACATTTTTTCGAGCATTTCCACGTTCATTATCGGTGAAAGCTGTATACGTTATTTTCAGCAGATGAATTTCAAATGAGCTCAAAAAGTGCAGGTAACTTCTCAAATGGCATAATTCCCTGATGGCATAAAAATGGAAACTTTTCCCAAATTGCATAAATTTCAAGTTTTCATTGTAATTTAAACGTTTTCTATCAATTTCTAATTTTAAAATATTGTCAGGAACGGAAGCATGTGAATAAGATTTGGAATTAATTGCTTCCAAACAAATTTACGAAAAAATTGACCACAAGAAGCTTATTAATAAACGCAAGCTCATGCTTCTTGCTTTGATAAAAAAATTCTACTTTTTCAAGATAAAATGTCAATCAACATTTGAATTGACAATTTGACTAATTTTCTCACCTTGTTCACGAAAAACTGTTGCATGAAATTTATGCCATTTGGAAAGTTTTTCTTTTTAATGCCATTTGGGAATTTTGCCATTTGCGACGTAATCAAAAGTGCATTTACACCTCAGTTCATTTATAAATGCATTAATATGTATGAATGCGCATCTTAAATTATTAAAGCATTTTAAGATTTTCTTCCTGAAAAAAAAAAACAAAAAAATCACCAAGACCTATATAAGAGTTACTCTTAATCAGTAAAAATCACAATCAACAAAAGGACCGCTAAAGGCGAGAAACAATAAGAAAAATCAACTGCAAATAACAACAGCTTTGGAGAATACGGAATTTCAAGCATAATCCTTACCACCAAGAGCCAGTTTACTTAACCACTAACCAAACCTAAAAAAAACAGGCAGCAACGGTTTGGCTTTAGAAAGCTGATATACTTGATGCCAAGTAGAACTAAGCTGCATACAGAAGCTAAAAATTGGAATTGATAGCAGAATTGCTTCTTAGTTTGAAAAAATTACTTTCCGATGAATAAAAAACACGCATGTCCTTAATCAGGGTCTTCATATTTTTAAACTGCAGTTGAAATGGGTTTATCATCATGTTTATTTCAAGAAAAGGAGCACAGATTTCCCATTAAAGTCCTCAAATGCAAACATTGATCTCAAATATACCTCTATCAAGCCACCAAATAATTGGTTACGTAGTAATAAGTTCAGCAAACATTTTAAAAAGCATCATGTAAGTTCACCATAAAGCTCTTCGAATATCAAGAATCTCTTATTATTGGCAATTTTGATCGGATTAACCCTATTTTTGAAGCTGGATCAATAGGTGGTTTTATTTCAGTGGGATTTCCAAAAATTTTAATCCACTTTTGAAATAAAGAAATTGAAGTTTTTTTTGCGTTGTTTGCTATACGAGAGTGCAATTTTGCCTTCCATTTAGCAAACAATTTGTCAAAATATGATGGTGAGCGGGAACAATTTTTAAGGCTTTCCTAAAAACACACAGCCTAATTAAGTGAAAATTCAATTCGTTCGTTAACACTTTAAACTTCCGGTTTGTTCTGTTAACATGCAAGTTAAAATTAATGGTTGATTATAATTCTTCTGAAATCACTAATTGCTTTTCTTTTTTCTTTGCCAGTAAATAGATCGGTTCAATAAAAAAGCTTTATATATTTAACTTTATATCATTTAAAATTGAAACTAGTGGATAAAAAATCGTTTCAGCTCCTGACAAAAATGGCTCAATTTAAGATAAATTCTCGTAACGGGATGAAGCCCTAATTTTTGCAAATAATCATTCACTATTGATTTGAGGCTTTCGAGGTGATACAAATAAAGCTAGTAGAACAAAATAAAGACCAATGCCGCAAATATTTCCAACTTTCATCGACATTCAAAACGAATAAAAAAATTGCAGCAGAACTATATGAATAACCTTTTTCAATCTTGTACATGACACCATACACATACCATACCTGTCTTTTCATCATCTGGTTCGCAGCCTTGGAGGGCATGCCTGCTTTGACGTATTCAAATATTGCACTCTCGTATTGACCCTCCGACTCGTAGAGGGCTGCTATCTTCTCCTGCTGATGATGGTTCTTCAGCCACTGAAATCACGCACTAAACTACTGACACTGTTTCCCGAATAAATACTTTATATATGAACCAACTCATTCATGATTAGTTTGACTTCCTACACCCACTGAAGATACCACTCGATAGGCAGGTAACTGGCCTTTTTCGTGTTCTTCGAAGATGGGATTTTAATTTATTTAGTATTGATTTTAAATTTCAGATATGCAAACTAACAATTGCTTGTTTCACGAAATATACACTCTAACCAATATGTAGGCGAAGAAAATAGCCCGAAACGATCAAGTTTGAAAAACTTAGCCGTACTATGATATTAATGCTGGTACATCAGCAGCGGATTTAGGGGGGAGGGGAGGTTGCGGACGCCTTCCTCCCTCAGTGATTCGACCCCATCCGACCTGCTTTCTCACCTTCGGTGGTCATAGCAAACGCGGCCATTTTGGGCATGGAAGGACTAACGCAAAATTTGAACAACCCCGATTCCACTATCTTATATTCGACAGGCTCAAAGGTTAATCTTTCTTGAGCGAGTTGCTTTTTGCTTGTACTGAGAAACACTCACGGACCTCTTTGCAGTCGGCCCTGAGTTTGTCTAGCTGGGGATGATTTCTGTCACTCGCCAACTGCAGCGCCTGCTCCCACTTGCCAATCTTCACAAACATCTCTATGGCACTGTCCAACATATCCTACATAATAACCAAATCAATCATTATAGAGGTGCTGATCTCAAGGCAGACAGCCCGAATAGCAGAAAATTGCCGAATAGCAAAAGATACCAATCACTCTCCTCCTAACTGGCTAATACTGAACTATTATCGGCCGAAATTCCATCAAAATCTTGAATAACTAATTTTTATTTGTTTAAATAAACGTTGTGTCAGTGTAAATTCCCATAAATTCAAGAGACAAATAACCAAGGGTTTCAAAAAGATTTGACTGACCATAACCTTTATGTATGTACATAACTTTGTTTAAGGTAACCTATGATCGATCATACTTATGGCATCAACCAACCTAAGATACTTCGCGTAAAAAGTGGTAAACTATTTTATTTGCCGGTGTTAACATACATTTTCGAGGAATGTGTTCTGTGCCATGAAGAAGTCCTTCTTGAGCATGAGTATTTTCGCCCTGATCTCCGGCTCCCTCTCCGCCAAGTTTCTCCACATTAAACCCATTTTCGTGTCGTGGTCCAGAGAAGGGTCTTCTGGCTCATATTGGTTCAGGCCACGGCTGTGCGCGAGATCCACTATTTTCTAGCGTAAAAAAAAACTTATTTCAATAATCAAGATTTATATTCACAATTTAACTTTCAAGTTCTTTTTTTTTCAAAAAACTGCTCAAAAATTTTATGCTTTTCAAAACTGGTTCTGAAGGCAATATTTCTTAATCTTGCAGATTGAAAACATCTAATGAAAAATCAAAATTGCATGCAAAGTTCGTTGCTAATTGCAAGTTATTCTTTTTAATAAATTTGTTTCAAAATTCAAATTACCGCTAACCTTTAGGTATCTGGCCTTGGCGATGTCACCTAGCTCCGCGTAGCACCTCTGTGCAATGGGGATACGCAGCTGGTCCAGACTGAGAGAGGCCAGAGTCCTCCAGTGGGCAGCTGTCTCAGGAGTTGCGTCCAGATTCTCGAGGTAGTTCATTGCACTACAAACAATTGAATCAATTGTTTTGTACTCGGTGATCCAATACTTATTACAAAGGCTCTTCTCAAACTCGTATTCAAAATTCAAACTTGTGTTAAAAAACGTCTTTTTTAACCTTAAAAGCAGAATTGCAACGAACTTAAAAACGGAGGCAAAGAGAAGCCTAGCATCACTTGAGACAGCACTATAAATAAAAATCAGTGCTGTGGCAATTAAGCCGACAATCTTTGAGCAGACACCTGCTGAGCCGAAAAACAAATTGATTTAAAAAAGTTACACATTTTCAATTGAATATATACTGAAAAAAACAAGGTCCAGTCGAGAGTCGAACCCCAGACCTTAGAGTACAAAGACGACGCCGTTAACTCTAGGCCAAGTGGAAAAGAAATTGGAAGTTTTGAAGGTTCGATTTCAAGACACTTGTTCACGAAAGTGTAATAATACCTGATTTTGTAGAACATAATATTTGCTCTCGAAACAACGCAATATAAGTTCATTATGCCATAAAATATAAGCTGAAACCGTTCAATTGAAAAAAAAAACTATATAAACATTAAAATTATTGAAAACCAGACTTCGTAAAAAGACAAGTTACAAACTTTTAACAACAGTAAAAAAATCAAAACAAGAGTAAAATCCCTGCTTAACAAAAAAGCCAAATAAAAACAGTACCAAATAAACAAACTTCATTTGAAAAAACGGGAATTGAGCCAACGGAAACTAGGCCAAAAATCACGAATACGAAAATAAAATCAATATTATTTTAAGAAAATTATTGGAAAACAAACGAAAAAACCGCAAACGGACTACACCTATTTACTACCTAAATGAAGCTTTTTTCTCTTGAATTTTCAAGAAAAGGAGCAAGTCTGAAACTTACCATTCCTACACATTTGACCATGCTGTGCCTAAGTTATTTAAAGGAAAAAGTCTAGTACCTGATTGTAATACCCTTGCTTATTGAAAGTCAAAAATGAGTAAAACATTTATTTAACAAAAATGAAAATTCAAAAATGACAAAAACCATTGAAAATGAAAAGGTGGAAAAAGGTCGAGCAAAACAAAAATCAATCATTAAAAAGATTTTTAAAAAAAAGTTACCTTGGAGTAATTCAGCTAAAAGACAGAGCGGCATTTTTAAAGAGAACAGTCACTTAAGGATTTTGGAAACCTAAAAACTTTAAGTTTTAGAGAAAAGTATCCGGAACCTTCTCCATCCTACGCGAAAACAGCTTGTTACAACTTCAAATACTATGCTAGTTGCATTTCACTATTTCACTTGCTGTTTTAATGTTTACGAACCAAAACATTAAGGTCGTGTGGTTTTCCCCTTTCTCCAGAAAACAGTCTGTTTCACGCTCCAGCATTTTTTTCTTGACTTCTGATTTCAATATAAGCACACCTCAAACTTAATTGCCAAACGGATGGCAACCTGAGCTCAACAAGCGCGAATGAGGCAAAAACACACGAGTGCAGAAAAGTTTCATTTTGTAGATATAAATACGAAAAATGGTGACAGAACAGAGTATCACATACAAAAGTAACCCTTTCCAAAATATCCCATACCAATAATTCCCATGGGACACAATAGCTTATCCCATTATAGCCCACGTTTCATGACGGGAAAAAAATCCTATAACAAAATAAAAACTAGTTTTTTATATAAAAAACCGAGGAATTGTTATTAGTTTTATTTCAGACGCCATATACAGATAGTTGTTATGATAAAAGACTATTTTCTAGGGACTAAACCTTGTTTTTCAACCTGTTAATGGAGTCAGTATGATAAAATATTGATAAAGAAACAACGAAGTCATGGGTACACTCATAGCACTTTTTCATTCAATATCAAAACGACAGATTTTGTCCACGTCAAAGCGCAACAAGGCCAAATGTTGCATATCTTGGATGGACAATAGTTCACTAAAACGCGTAAAAGGAAATCTAGTAACCCTTGAAGTTGTGAAAAATGGCCTTCTCATTAATTGCCACTGGCACTTATAACCAACCATTATTTCTTTCAATTAGAAGCACAGCGATGAGTTCAACCCCGGTCGCGTTGAAGCAAGACAGTTAGTTGGTCAGCTGAAAGCAACAGCAAAAACTTAAATCAATCCTTTAAAATATAAGTTAATAGCTGCCAGCCTCAAATCAGTGAACAATAATTTGGCGCTCCAGCCTTCATTGCCATTCTAGGGACTAAACCTTGTTTTTCAACCTGTTAATGAAGCCAGTATGATAAAATATTGATAAAGAAACAACGAAGTCATATGAGTACACTCATAGCACTTTTTCATTCAATATCAAAACGACGGATTTTGTCCACGTCAAAGCGCAACAAGGCCAAATGTTGCATATCTTGGATGGACAATAGTTCACTAAAACGCGTAAAAGGAAATCTAGTAACACTTGAACTTGCGAAAAATGGCCTTCTCATTAAGTTGCAGCGTTCACGAGAACCCTAAATTGAAATAAAACCGCAAAACTATTCAGTTATTTAATTTACAAATCGTCCTGTCGACAATCCAGAAAAATATTTGCCTGTATTCCGACTGTTTGATAGTGGACATTCGCCTGTATGCTAGTGGAAAAGAGAATAACGAGAGATGCACTGATGCATAAATAATTTGTTTTCCAAAACTTATTTAGTTATTGGATTTTTAGCCATTGTAGAGGTACTATTTTTTTGGAAGTTAATAGAGACTAGCACAACAATAATTTTGTATTTTCCCATGACGCAAAATCAGCTTAGAAAAACTTTTCGCTTTGCTAGTTCAAAAGATCGGTGGAATTGAAAGGTGCGTTGACATTTAAGCTTAGAACTGAAAATCATTTCGCACGCATTTTCAAAAGCTAGCATTGCTTTGATCAATTTGTCTAAAACGGCATCATTTGAATTACTTTGAGCGACCTATTGCGATATTTTATTTGCTTCGATACCTCAGATGGGATATTTTAATTTGCATGCGCTATTTCGTCATGGGCTATTATGCCTGCTGGGTTACTTAGGAGTGGGATACTCACGCTTGGGATAGAAAGGTAAAAAATCATTTATCATAAAACCAGAAGAGTGAAACGAGATTGAGCGGTAGTGTAAAAAAGGTTTCATCCTTTAGATATAAATGCAGAAAAAACATACAGTTAGTTAGATTAATTTTAAAGATATAGAGACACTTTAAGTCTATAAGACTGACATTTCGCGCACCAGCGGACTTTGGGGGGGGGGGGGGGGGGCAACGTCTCCTCCTCTTCATGGATCTTTGTACAATTTTGAGATATCCAGTTTTGGCTGACTGACCCTAAGGCGCCTTTGGCTCCAAAATAAACTAATTTCGAGGATGGAGCGCGCGCCCAAAAAAAGCAACTTTTTGATAAAAATGTTGCAAAAAGTGCCCAAAAACAGCTTTTTTTGCCTATTTTTTTTTGAAAAATTCGCCTACAGCGCAGAAAATTTGTTCAAAATAACCTCTTTATAGTGATTTGGGAGAGCTCAGAAAATCATTTTGGTCGACTTAAAAAAAATGTCAAAACTTTAAAAACTTTTTTTGATAAATCGCCCCCTCGAGAATATTAAGTCTTGCTTATTTTAAGTCTGGCTTTTTAAAGATGGAGTTATCTTGCTCAATTTAAAAAGCTGTTTATGATTGGTATCTCATAGAATAGAGCCTTTGACGAGAACTGGAACCGGTTCCACATACTACGCGTTCGTGGCTGGTTTAAATTAGACACATACGCTGTGAGTTGTCCCGACTCGACTGCAGCGCCGAACGCGATCAGGTCAGAATCCAGAAGGTACTCGGCCATATCCAGTTTCTCATCAACCAGCACCCTCGTCTGCACCCTCTCACGGCCATCCTGTTCTCGCACCAGTTCACGCAGCACCTCCCGCACTTCGCCCTTAACAAACTCAGAGTCAATAAATTACAGATACAAAACATAATTTTTGCTATAAGATTCCAAAAGTATATGAAAAAAGAATTTTATAAAACTAAAATTTCAAAAAAGAAGAATTCTGTTCTATGACGCCTCTCTTATTGCCAGACAGACTACTCTCTTTTTGCAGAATAAAGGACGCAGACTAGTAGCCGGAAAATAAAACCCTCGTCTGAGGCCGAAATTAAATAGACATGATAAAAGTATTTGGTGCGACTTTTCCATTGCAGTCTCAGAAATTGATCGGTCTTTTAATAACAATATTTGATTGACATCTCTATAATCTCTTCCAAAATTATATTCGTCTTAGTGATGGTTTCAGGGTTCACCTACAGGTGAATACTTCTAGTTACCTACAGGGTTCTCTAGTATCAATGGTTTCGTGATCTAGTGAATTTTGTGTCCTTTACCTTGATGGGGAACATGGATACTTTGTCGGGGGAATCGATGTTGTACCAGACACAGAGAAAGTCTCTGTTCTGAGCCACTATGACATCACTCTGGGGCACCCACTGCACAAACTGACACAAGTCCAACATTGTCACTTTAGCCTCAGTCGCCATGTCCACCAGGTACAGCTGCAACAAAACAAAATCATCAAAACACAGCCAAAAATTGCCTTTTTTGATAACTTACGTTCGAATATCAAAAAAAACAATGGTTTCCACTTTTGGATAAAACGTCTGTACGTAGCCGACAGACAGATTAAAACATGTCAACTGACTCATGAAAACCATAAAAACTCATTTTAACAGCATTTTTTTAAAGTTTTAAAGAAAACGTTTCAAATGAGAATATTTGAGTTTAAAAGCAAGAAATACATCCCCTTTAAACTCTTTTGACTTTTTGGTTGAATTTTTTTTTGGATTCAAAAGCGCAACTGCGCTTCGCATATAACAGCGAAAGCGGCCAAAACGAACTCCAAAAAGGCAAAAAAATGCAGGATAACACAAAACACCATCTTACACAGAAACACAGACAAATTACCAGATTCAAACTTACCCTAAATCAAGTGCTACTTTACTCTATATTCCAAATAAACTCATCTCATTTTACCCTATGTCCTCAAACTAACTTACCCTATACCAGTTAATCCTCAGACAAATTATGTTGCAATTAATTTTATCCTCTGATGTATTAATCCAAAAACTGATTAAAAATTTGTGACCACATGGTGTCAACTGTTGAGCCAGATTTTAATAGTACACTTAGTTGCAGGTTCAAACTAATTGTTATAAAACGCAACTAAATAAAGTACATTATCGCAATTATCTCAGTTTATTTGGCAATTTTCACAAATTTAATGTACAATGAATCCAAAAAGTTTCATTTTGTCTAATTTATTACTCAAAATTACCCCCAAAATGTGCCAAACTTTTTGGGAAGTATCATATACCACTAGTCATGACAAAGCAAGAAACGAATAGTGGAAAAGTTCACGATGACACAAAACTGCTGGGCAACAGCTATCATACTTAGCTTTGACATCATTTCGTTACGCAATGATCACAGTCGGGAAGTCTTCCATGGAAGATCCGACGCACGAGTGCTCGTTCAAAAATGAAACAGATATCAAACTTTTGAAAGTACTGGTGAAATGCAGTATCAGTGCAACTTGCCTGTAATCAGTGGCAGATGAAAAAGCCATACAATGATTTCCTTGCCTTCGAGCCTTGTTAATGTAATCGAGATAAACCAGGATATGACAAATGTAATTCTCTCATTTATATACAGTCTAATATCAGTTAGCTGATTTCTACCCCCTGCATTTACGCCTTGCTTCCCTCTAAACGTGAGCAAATAAATACGAAGTTTCTCAACATTTTGTCAGAGCTAACTCAAAAAGCCGAGCCCAATCATTTTTTCCTTGACTTTGAACAAGCTGCTTTCCACGCTTTCTCTCTTCATTTTCCCAGATCAAAACTTAAAGAATTTACATTACTCAAGCCTTATTTGCTTCGTATTTGAAAAATAGCTACATAAATGGAGACCGCGAACCATACAAAACAGAAGCGCAGCTGGACTTGTTAGAACAATAAATGCCGTAGAAGGATGGCATCTTGGTGGCATCCATCCTTCAAAACAATACGTTTCAGGATCCAGTCCAACTCTATGCCGACAGCCAAAAGTTCAAACCGCTGAAGGATGTGGGGCAACCAGCGAGCAAAAGTAACAAAAAGTATAAAAAAGTAACAAAAATTGAACGAACGAGTGACAAACATTGTAAATATATTCATTAAGGACTCCGTCCTAAAACATTTATATTCTCTCGCAGAATTGAGATACTCTTAGATATCGTCGTAAACTATTTATATTCTCTCGCTGAATTGAGATATTCGTAGATATCAAGTTTCAATATGAAATTGAATCGAAGTTGAGAAAAAATTCTGAAAATCATGATTTTTCCTGAAAAAAACACAAGGCCTAAACAAAAGAAAAACCACTTCTTTCACATTGAGGCGAAGCAACAAAGTAGCAGTTCAATAAAATGTAGAATTGAGCCTCAAATTGGTAAAACTTCGGCTATGTCTCGGATTCGATGAGCGACCTAGGGATTATGAATCTCACGCAATACCTACTCAGCCACTGACGCTCAATACATACACACACTAGCCACAAGTAAAGCAGAAAACAGATGCTATGAAATTCCCAATACATTAGATCGTGATCATAGCAGAAGTGCAACCAAATAAGTGAACACTTTTAATGAACACTTTTATTTCTGAGTTAGGCAGGAAAAAAGAAGGTTCGTACTACTACACTACGCTCGCTATTGTATTCAATACTTAAAATTGGATCACTTTGTATTTTTATTTACTCGGCTGATAAACTGAAAATTTGTAAACTATAAACCAAGTATTTTCTCGCTATTTGACTTTGTTTTTGGCAAGCGTTATTTAATTAGTGTTCTATTATGAGTAAATATTTGCTCCTTTCATCAATCCAAACAATTTGTCATGCATGGACTTTTATCTCACCTTGTACTTGACGTCTCTGAAGAGGAGTTTTCGGCCAGTCTCATTCAGTTCCAGCCATTTGATTTTGCTCTGGTGCTGACACCTCACAGTCGGCATCTCATTCATCAGGTCCACTAAACAATTACAAAATAACTACAGCACAACAGAATTATCCGAGTCCTCATTTAAAGAATCTTCCTCGTTGCAGAAGGACCGAATAGCAGACTGATTCACATACTGATTTCCGATGAGCATATGTGATTTTCTGCAAGTCAGTCAGTTTTGGACATTCTAAAAGATGTCGAGTAGCTGAGAAGTTTCCGCCATTCGATTCTCCGTGCATAATCAGAGCCCCAATCCACTCAACCAAATCGCAAAGTAATAATGAGAACCATAACACTGCCAACAGTTTAGTTGGTTGGGCACCATTATACTCAACAAACTGTTTAAATTTCGAAACTTTTTCATCTACTCAAAACTAATTGAACAGCTCCACATTACTGATTAAAAAGCTAGATTTGAAGTTCAATTTGGCAAACAAAGTGCATTTTGGCAAACAATCACAATGCTCGTGCTCGAGGTTAAGAGCCTTTTTACGGCAGAGCTTGAAAATTGAATCTGAACTTACCAATTTCGACTGTTTTCAAGTCTACCAAGTAGGCCAGTTTTTTGTTGTCATGACTATCCACTCCAGTCACAGTCCGTTCATTGATTCTCACACTGAAAACGAAAGACATAAAATCAACACAGGCGAAGCGGAGATTCACACCACTTGCCATACCAAACATAGCAAAAAAAAGAAAATCAAAATAATTACATCTACAAAAGTTTCCAACTTTTTTCCCGAATGATATTCAATCCTCGGCAAAAAAATTAATCGCAAACATTACTCGAGCTATACGTTCGGAAATTCTTACGGCCCTCTACTTTCGGAAACGCGCAAAATGATAAAAATCTATTTTCTGCTTCATAAGACTCAAATATAGGTACATAAGCAGAAAAAAAACAAACGCCGAGACTATTAAGGCCGAAGAAACCTTTAAAGCGAAAAAAATAGAAATTTTACAAAACTACATCCTAATAAAGAATAGAAAAAAAAGAGTTCCGCTTGTTTACAGGAAGAATTTGATGACTTATCCAAGTTTTAGCTGTACTTGATCATTAAAGATAATTGTGGTATGAAATTAGAAAATCGCATTATTACTAAATTTCTTCCATTAAATATCAGTCCTTGACTCAATTGATCTTTCAAAAACGAGTGTTGAGAAAAAGGAAAAACTCCTAATTGAGAAAAAATGGAGGTGATTTCACTTTTAACTATAATTTAAATCAGATTGTTGGTATTGTGAATTAACTCGAGCTTTGCAAATTTTTCATTCCATTAACTTTTCGATTTCGTTTCAAGTTTTGAATTCCGTAAAAGAAGGTTTTGGAAAGTCGATTTAAATTAATAAACTAGTCTCGATTAAAAAAAGCCAACAATAATTGGCGGTAAACTTAAACACAGAGCACTACGTAATCACAAGCACAACAAACAGCAAATGGCAGCTTGAAAATGCAAAAAATGAAGCGAAAATAAAACTACTGTTATTTGACTGGTAACGCTGCTGGGGAAAAACTGAATGATTAAAATTTTGCGTCTACAAAATTTCTTAAGGGACGCAAGCCAATTACGACGCATTGGCAATACCAGCCAATTTGAAAGAGAGAAATTTACCAATGGCAAATACCTCAATTTATAAAGCGGACGCATTTTAACTAGTATACGAAAAAGTTCTTAAAAAACATCCGACCCTGCCCAGGTTCGACCCTCTTATTTTGTTGCGGGTCTCATCCATACCTCTACGCTACAGATTCATGATACCTTGAAGCTAAAGAACTATTTGTAACACAAAATTGCTCGTATCAGGGCGAAGCCCTGAATGTTCTCACTGCCTTTTAAGGTCTGTGGAGCATTAAAAACATGAAAAAAAAAACAAATGTCAATTAAAATAAAATGAAAGTTTAAAAAAAATTTCTAGATTTTTGTGAAAATCATCCCCCCACACGCCATATAAAGTACAGTGATAAATTTCGCTCCTAGTAACAAATAAATTATGGCAAATAAACTTCCTTCAACCAATTTGGGACGATTTCTAAGACGAATTAAACCTCCGCTTACGCGTTAATAGCCCGAAATACATCGCGAATTAATTTTCCCAAATTGACCAAAATGACAATTTTTAAACCCACCCATAAATTTACGAAAATTGATCACAGGTGAAATATCTTTTCAAATTGAAGCTTAGTACAACAATACCGATTGAATGATATGAAAACATTCTGTCAAAAAAGGCTAGTTAAAAAGTCAAAATTTGTCAAAGAAAAAAACCACCCCGAGCAAAAATATTCCGTTACTTTCGTTATGAAAGTCGCAACAAAAAATAGTCGGTGTTAATATCCTTAGCACTGGCTGTACTTAATAACTGGTTATTGATCAAAGATGAACTCTTTCAAAATAACCACATTTTATTGCCACAATATTTGCGTCGCAACAATATTTGCGACTTAGTTTGGAAATAAAAGATAGTTCATACTATAACACAAGCTATGCTTGTGTAAACAAGCACCTGAGAAAAAGATTTTAAAAAGTTTCAGCTTTACATATACTGATCTTTTTAGCGGTGGTGCCTCGACGAAGCCAACAGACTAGTAGTAAAAGTGTCAATGAACGCAAGGAAACAAAAAAAGAATTTATTGACACTTTTACAACTAGTCTATTGGCTTCGTCGAAACACCACCGCTACAAACTTCGAACTTATTATTGTATTGTCGTGTGGAACAAATAACTTTTTTCACTTTAATTAATGAATTAATTAATGAATTTTAATTAATGATTTTTAATTAATGAATTTTTTCACTTTAATTAATGAATTAAAAAGCATCAACTGTGTTAACTCATTAGAAATCAAATGTCAAGATTGTATTAAAGTGCCAAAGCAGCCTCCTGGTAAAAATAAAATAAAGGCACTTTTAATTGGCACAAAAATAGATCTATCAAAATTTCCACCTCAAGCATCCCTTTTATTTGCATTTAGGTTGCAAAAAACGCATCGTACTAGCACTCTATGCTCCAATCTTGCTTGTAAACAACGGGTGCTCATCGGGTATCAAGTAGAAGATGAGACTGACCTGAACTGGTGTGGATTTGTGAACTCAGTTCTGACTGTGCCGAGGAACTCATTGTTGCCATACTCCACCAAAGACATTTCACCCGCATTGAAAATTACACAGACCTAAACAATAATCCACAAAATAGTCAACAGACCTAAATAACAATCCAGAAAATAGTCAACAGACCTAAATAACAATCCAGAAAATAGTCAACAGACCTAAATAACAATCCAGAAAATAGTCAACAGACCTAAATAACAATCCAGAAAATAGTCAACAGACCTAAATAACAATCCAGAAAATAGTCAACAGACCTAAATAACAATCCAGAAAATAGTCAACAGACCTAAATAACAATCCAGAAAATAGTCAACAGACCTAAATAACAATCCAGAAAATAGTCAACAGACCTAAATAACAATCCAGAAAATAGTCAACAGACCTAAATAACAATCCAGAAAATAGTCAACAGACCTAAATAACAATCCAGAAAATAGTCAACAGACCTAAATAACAATCCAGAAAATAGTCAACAGACCTAAATAACAATCCAGAAAATAGTCAACAGACCTAAATAACAATCCAGAAAATAGTCAACAGACCTAAATAACAATCCAGAAAATAGTCAACAGACCTAAATAACAATCCAGAAAATAGTCAACAGACCTAAATAACAATCCAGAAAATAGTCAACAGACCTAAATAACAATCCAGAAAATAGTCAACAGACCTAAATAACAATCCAGAAAATAGTCAACAGACCTAAATAACAATCCAGAAAATAGTCAACAGACCTAAATAACAATCCAGAAAATAGTCAACAGACCTAAATAACAATCCAGAAAATAGTCAACAGACCTAAATAACAATCCAGAAAATAGTCAACAGACCTAAATAACAATCCAGAAAATAGTCAACAGACCTAAATAACAATCCAGAAAATAGTCAACAGACCTAAATAACAATCCAGAAAATAGTCAACAGACCTAAATAACAATCCAGAAAATAGTCAACAGACCTAAATAACAATCCAGAAAATAGTCAACAGACCTAAATAACAATCCAGAAAATAGTCAACAGACCTAAATAACAATCCAGAAAATAGTCAACAGACCTAAATAACAATCCAGAAAATAGTCAACAGACCTAAATAACAATCCAGAAAATAGTCAACAGACCTAAATAACAATCCAGAAAATAGTCAACAGACCTAAATAACAATCCAGAAAATAGTCAACAGACCTAAATAACAATCCAGAAAATAGTCAACAGACCTAAATAACAATCCAGAAAATAGTCAACAGACCTAAATAACAATCCAGAAAATAGTCAACAGACCTAAATAACAATCCAGAAAATAGTCAACAGACCTAAATAACAATCCAGAAAATAGTCAACAGACCTAAATAACAATCCAGAAAATAGTCAACAGACCTAAATAACAATCCAGAAAATAGTCAACAGACCTAAATAACAATCCAGAAAATAGTCAACAGACCTAAATAACAATCCAGAAAATAGTCAACAGACCTAAATAACAATCCAGAAAATAGTCAACAGACCTAAATAACAATCCAGAAAATAGTCAACAGACCTAAATAACAATCCAGAAAATAGTCAACAGACCTAAATAACAATCCAGAAAATAGTCAACAGACCTAAATAACAATCCAGAAAATAGTCAACAGACCTAAATAACAATCCAGAAAATAGTCAACAGACCTAAATAACAATCCAGAAAATAGTCAACAGACCTAAATAACAATCCAGAAAATAGTCAACAGACCTAAATAACAATCCAGAAAATAGTCAACAGACCTAAATAACAATCCAGAAAATAGTCAACAGACCTAAATAACAATCCAGAAAATAGTCAACAGACCTAAATAACAATCCAGAAAATAGTCAACAGACCTAAATAACAATCCAGAAAATAGTCAACAGACCTAAATAACAATCCAGAAAATAGTCAACAGACCTAAATAACAATCCAGAAAATAGTCAACAGACCTAAATAACAATCCAGAAAATAGTCAACAGACCTAAATAACAATCCAGAAAATAGTCAACAGACCTAAATAACAATCCAGAAAATAGTCAACAGACCTAAATAACAATCCAGAAAATAGTCAACAGACCTAAATAACAATCCAGAAAATAGTCAACAGACCTAAATAACAATCCAGAAAATAGTCAACAGACCTAAATAACAATCCAGAAAATAGTCAACAGACCTAAATAACAATCCAGAAAATAGTCAACAGACCTAAATAACAATCCAGAAAATAGTCAACAGACCTAAATAACAATCCAGAAAATAGTCAACAGACCTAAATAACAATCCAGAAAATAGTCAACAGACCTAAATAACAATCCAGAAAATAGTCAACAGACCTAAATAACAATCCAGAAAATAGTCAACAGACCTAAATAACAATCCAGAAAATAGTCAACAGACCTAAATAACAATCCAGAAAATAGTCAACAGACCTAAATAAAAATCCAGAAAATAGTCAACAGACCTAAATAACAATCCAGAAAATAGTCAACAGACCTAAATAACAATCCAGAAAATAGTCAACAGACCTAAATAACAATCCAGAAAATAGTCAACAGACCTAAATAACAATCCAGAAAATAGTCAACAGACCTAAATAACAATCCAGAAAATAGTCAACAGACCTAAATAACAATCCAGAAAATAGTCAACAGACCTAAAGCTCTTTGATTTTCAAAAGCAATTTATTATTGGCGCCTTTTTGATAAAATTAACCCCACCCCACTTCAGAAAACTGGATTAATAAGTAAAAGTTTTATTTCGCTGGGAAATCTGAAAACTTAATTCCACTTTCAAAACTAGAAGTCGATCACGCTTTTCGTGAGGTTTACACTTTTGCTGTTCGATCGTGGAGTTTGCCTTCCTTTTCACAAAGAAAATGAACTGAAACTTGAAAAAAAATCATATTAGAGTTTCTCGAGGAAAAAAACTGAAAAAAAACATCGCGACCTTTATAAGAGTCTGAACAACGTTCATCGACTATTAATAATTATTTTTCCAGTATTACAAACAGGAAAACGAATTTAAAATCAAGTATCCTCAAAATTGCCTACGCAATCAAAAAATTCGACTCATTAATGAATACCAGAAACCTTTCAATTTAGTTACCTGATAGACAGCGAAGCAATGCAAATCAATTTTCTTTCAAAAAACGCTCAATATCTAACATACTCAAAACTACTTATCTACGATTTTTAAAAAAGGAAACCATTTGTATATTTTTTAATTTATGTTAAAAACCTGCAAATCATTTAATCACATCTTTGAACTAATTTTTGTGCACAACGTGGACATCTTATCTGATAATTATTTTTTTGTCAAATAGATTGTTGAATTATCTCTTACGTGTTCAAATGAGTGAAAATTGATTTCTGATATCAAAATGATTTTGGGTTAATCGTTGACCAAAAAAGATATGACCAGTAATTTCTCATTATTTTTTTCAGTTAACCTATCAGAGGAAGGAGTCCCCCATGAGGGAAGAACCAAACACTCGAAAATTTTGTCAACAAATCAGAGCCCAGTATTCGAAGGTTTATCACTATAGGTTCAGTGGACAATGGCTACACTACAAGCGCTCACCTTGATAACCGACGTGCACGAACAAATTGAACCACCAATCATGTGATTACAACGCCACGACTATAAAGCCTCAAATCTTTACTTTTTTACCTTTTCGATTTCGAAGTAGAACTTCTCGTTTCCTCCACTAGTCCACTGCACTTCGCTCATTCGGCCATCTAAGAAGTCGGCTATCAGGAGGGTGTCACTTGTATATGCCACCAGATACCTGTTTCTCTTGTCCGAAGTCAGACCACCTGAAGACCCAGTCGCTAGACTCACATCCGAACTCTTACCGCCACACACATTCACCTTCGTGATCTAAAAAAACACATCAAAAATTTTACAAAATAATAAATTAACTACACAGTGGCAAAACTATCGAACTGTCAATACCGCTAACGATATTTGAAAAGACAGTATGCTTTCCATACGCAAAATGAACTAACTAAACGCATAACAACGAGCTGGTTTTAAATTCTGCTTTAATTCACTGGAACTGTTAACAATTTACCAAAACACATTTCACACTCTTTGAAATACTGACCGGGTAGTTGTATTGGGATCGGAGTACACATCGAGTATTCTTCTTGGTGTTGCGGACGAGGACCTGTTTGGGTCCGAAGTACTGTATCTCGAACACTCCATTCACCACCGACTTCGGAGACGACACCTCCAACATCTCCACTAGACCCGTCTGGGTACCCTGTCAGGAGGCAAAAAAGAATTGAGAGTTGTTTAAAAAACGTAACTCAGTTCACCTGTCAAGCTTCTTTGTTCAACTCCAAATATAGTGGAATGAGTCAAAAATGGAGATCTTAAAATAGTACAAAGGGGATCCCTTTAAGTCGGCAAGGGGTCGAATCCCTGAGGGGGGTGAAGGGTCGTCCGCGATTTGGACAAAGATCGATTAACTGTCGCTCACCTTGATAAAAACATAGCTAAAAAAAGTCAATGAACGCAAAAGAATAAAAACAAATACTAACTTTAAAAAAAAAAACACTTGTTTAATGAGTTTTCAAGATAAAAATAGATGGCCTTAAAGCTTGTTTCTAGAGCAACTTAGGATTGACTTTTTTTTTGATAAAACTAACCCAAGTTGAGAGAACTGGATCAATCAAAAAAATTTATTTTCGCTGGGAAATGCGAAAATAAAATTCCACTTTCGAAATTAGAAGTAAATCACGTTTTCCAAGAATTTTACACTTTCGCTGTTAGATAATGGAGTTTGCCTTCCTTTTAAACACAGAGGCGAAGTTGCACGTTGCATACACAAGCAAAAACAAGACCGACAATGCTACTGGGAAAAACCGAATGAGTAAAACTTTGAGTCTTCATAATTTCTTAAATGACTCAAGCCAATTATGAGTTTGCATAATTGCTAAGTGACTTGACGCAGCCCAATTATGACGCATTGCCAGTACCAGTCAATTCGATAAAAAAAATTTACCAACTAACATGCCTCAGTTTATAGAGCGGACGCATTTTACCTAGTATACGAAAAAGTTCATTAAAAACATCCGCCCCACACAGGTTCTAACCCTCTTATTTTGTTGCGAATCTCCTTCCCTGCCTCTACGCTACAGATCCATGATACCTTGAAGCTTAAGTGCTATTTTTAATATCAAAATTTGTGTTCATATCCTTAGCATTAGCTTTACTTAATACCTGGTTATTGATCTTTTGTACATACTGCAAAAAAAAACACTTTCAAAATGAACACTAATACCTGCGGCTTAGGTTGGGAAAAAAATAAAGAGAGCTCATACTATCACACAAGCTTTGCTTGTGTAAATAGGAAATAAACTGAACTAAAAAAATCAAAAAGGCAAACTGCGAAAAAACTGTGCAAACTGTGGAAAAAAAACATAACTACCTAAATAAGAGTCTCCACCAAGTTCATCGACTCTTAATAAAACCAAATGAATCGCCTACATTCAGTTTCCAATGCTTCTGAGCCGGATCAAATTGCCGCTCGTTCTACACGTCAAAAAGGCAAATACCTATCAAAAATTATCCCGAATTGGAAAATTTCAAACCTCAATTATGTTACGAAAACTGATTACAGGTAAATATCAAGCTCAGGGCATTAATATAGTATAAAAACTTGCAATAGCCTGTATAAAAAAACTCAAAAATGATTGTAATTTACCGCAAGATCACATGCGCATGCTGTAAACATCTCCAACGGAAAGTTTCAATCAAAACCTCGATAAAACCAAAAACCAAAGGATAATTTCACGAAACAAATCAGCCTTCGAAGAAAAAGTACATCACGTTAAATCTACTTTAATTTCAAGAATCTTTATGACAAGCACCTCATTCACAAAAGTAGCTCAATTAGAAAATCTGGCAAATCAGTGATTCTTATAAATTTTAAAAACTCCCTTGAGAAACTTGAATTCATTCACTTCTTTTTGCATTTTTAAAATTGGAGAAAGTTATTTGCATTAAGATAATCAAATGAATTTGAATTGAACTTAAAAAGGGTCAAAAGGTAAAGGCGGGAGTAATACCTATTAAACCTTTAGACAATCGTAAAAGCATTTTAAATCCCGAATAATTCCAACCAAAATGTCAATGAGCTTCAGGAACCCGAGAAAACTGAATTTGAATTTCAATGATTTTCAATATAACATAAACTCAATTCGTGATAAATAAGTCAATAGTTAATTTTTTAATTCTGCAATGCTTTATAAAATTGTTAATGCCCAATGTATACCAAAATAACCGCATTGAAAGCACAAACTCATCAATATGGTTAACAGGAGCAATGACAACATGCATGTTTCCTTACGAGGAGAATGTTGGTTCCGTCTGGTCTCCACTGCAGCACAGTTATGGTGTAGAGGTTCTTGATCTCCATGAGCGACAATTCCACAAACTTCTCTGAGGTCGCGTTCCAGTTGAATGTCCGCACCCTAAATCACACACAACCATAAAAATCTAACTTGAGGATACAGAGCAATTTCATGAGGGACTCAGTTAGCTCTGTCACCATAGATTTCAACCTTTCTTAAATCTTGTTTAAGTCATCTAAGTGATATGAAATCGGACTTTAATCCTAATGCTCCAACGATTACACATTAAACTGTCGTTCTCTCAACTTGCCTTTTCCCATTACTGTCCTTAAGTATCCGATGATCAGGAATAAGAAAAAATAGTAAAACAGCGCCCTACTTGTTTAATCTTTTTTGTAACATATAGGCAGCCTCGCTACTATTGGTGGCAGCATTTGCTCACCCACTCAATCGAGGAACGTCAGTTATTGACAGGATTTTAAAAAAAATGTGAATGCTTTCGGTGTTGAAAATTAAATACTAATTCTATAGGAAACGTTTAATTGCTTTTTTGAATTCTCTTTTTTACAGACTCTTGTTATTTATAAAACCTGACTGTTTTTGCTCACTTTCTTTTTTGCCAAACATTCCAACATTTTCAGCTTTGAATATGCCTTTACTAACTCCGCGATTGAACTACGATCAAGCTCGAGCACTTGTTGATGCGAACTTTACCGACATAAGATTTCCAGACGTGGCTCTGGGACACGACACTGAGGACAAGAGGGTGAAACTCTTCATCGTTCACGGGAGGCGTCACGTTGAACCAAAAGGTTCAGGAACTGGGGCAAATCGGCTGCTCCCGCCAAAGTATCACTCTTCCAGCAGGATACATACGATCGGTTCGTCTTGTTTGGTATTCCTGAGAGCAGTAAAACCTGTGCTCTGTTCACGAAGTCGCCTCAAGCATCGGCGGTTCTGTTCAGGTACTGCTCTCGTTTGCCCCCGGCGACTCCCAGTTTTTATTACATGTTGACGTAAAAGGAGTAATGGAAGGCGGTAATTTGTTGCTGGCAACAGATGAGCCAATAACTCCACTACTTGACACATCGCTTATGGGTATGGAGGTACCTATAAGTTTCGACGTTGCCAGTGAAACTGAAATGCGTTGGTTCGCATTTTCATCCAAGAACGTTCGGCTGACGAGAAGTCATGTATTAGCCGATGCTTGTCATGGAACAATGTGCCATGGTGGGCAGTGCATGCAGGGCAAAAGCAACACTTGTGTCTGTCTAAAGAAATCGGGTACGAATCGCAATGCCTTGTGTGCTCGAGTGTCATGAGAGAATGCAGAAAATATGCACTGCCCATCATCGGTAGCAGAACTCCAAAGTGTCTCTGCCCTTGTCATTTTTGCAGCCAACCCCGCACGCTTAGAAGTGAACAGGCCTACTTTTTATCCCTTTAATTAAACAAACGCTCAATGAAATTGTGACGGCTGTGAACGAGCTGGAGGGATTCAAAGTCGAGGGGTGGTAAAAACCCTCCAAGCAAGATGGAGACGTTTGTGCAGAAGCCCACAGTCTTCGCGTAACCAAGCTGTTGCCCTTACAGCATTCTGATGATGCCCCGAAGTATATTCAAGCAGATTCCTCGTCTTCTTCTGCCTCAACTGCACCTCCACCAGTTTCCTCAAGCTAAAGGCCTCAATGAAACGTATGGAAAAGTTTTCAATGAATCTGACAATTCAGACTGATTCGTGAGTTTCCTTTTGTCTTATTTTATTCACTTGTATATTCAATTTATTCCATTACCAGGACGACTAAGTGCATCAAAATGATCCGCGACATCTGTGGGATTCAGATCTGGACCAAAAAGACAGGCTTGAACAACTCAGCACAAAACTACACCATGTGGTGCTTGAAACTTGGTCGTTTGATACAAATTATCAACTGATACCTGGTCATTGCCGTAACTGATGTTTAAATTTGTTTCCTCATTGTTATTTATTTATGTTCCCATTTTTGTTCATCGTTGGCGATGACAATTTATAGTTCACTTACTGGTTCCTTCTAAAAATTACGTTTATACATCGTGCTCAATTTCTTGAACTTGTAAAATGAAGCTCATGAAGATTATGTTTGTGTAAGAACAAACTTTTGCACCTTCAAAAATAGTTTGTTCTTGTTTTATTTTTTCTGAGCCGCCTTGTCAATTTCACTGAAACAGACAGTCGAAATGTTTGTCACAGCTGAACATAAACTAACAACAAAATTTCTTTTTACTTCAGATATGATCTGTTCTTGTATCGCATATGCCTCGCAGAAAAAAACGTCCAAATAATCTATCTCAACAAAGGGACCTAAGAGGTCTTTGTGGCTGGTGACGGTTGCTCGACAAATGATGTGTTTTTTAATCAACAGACTGAAATTTCTAAAACCGAAATAAGGGATGAAGAAACGGCGTTCGTTGGCTATAATGCAAATGAACAGTCGTACGATAGCTTGCTTCCAGATTGTTTGCCCTGTAAGGATAACTATTGTCACAATTGCTTCAGGTGTTCTACGCGCCAGTTACCTTTGCTATTCCTTAGTGTACCATCATCGAAGCTTGTGAGGCGCATTTATGGAACCAAATACAGCTCAGAAAGTACCGTCTTCTCTGTTTCAATTGCGGGCGTTACACGCGTGTTTCCCATCGTGACTACACAACTACACCCCAGTTTCATTACGCGTGGCCTTCAGTCATTTGGCACTGGCTTAGTACCAGTGAAATCGAAGCTGAGAAAATATGGAACACTTTACCCTGGCGCCTCCGGTATAGTTGGTTTCATTACGCCGCCTACCAGTTCCCCTGTTTTGCAAAATGTATTAACTTAAGGAAATAGGAATAACTGATTATTACAGAATTTTTTGCAGCTAGTCTGCAGTGTAACTTAGCGAGAAAAAAGTTCTCATTTAGGTTCATATTGCTAACAATAAAAAAAAAATTAACGTGCCGTATTTTGCAAGAAAACTTACCGATCATAACTGGCCACTGCCACTGTTTCGCTGATTGCCGAACTGCAGGCGCACGTGAATTCTTTCTCGCTCTTGTCCGAGTTGAAGTCGAAACTCTGCATCAGCTCACCCGCCACAGACGAAGACATGCCTGAAGTAAAATCTTGACATCTATTTCAGCTTATCATGATTTTACTATACTAGTTATTATCTCACTAATTATTTTTACTAATTATCTCGTTTAAAGGTCTATAAAGACGATAAAAAGATACTTTCTAAGAGAAAAATATCATTAAAGTAAGTTCCGCCGTAGCAAGCCGAAAAAAAAAATTCGTGCTGTATTAACACGCTTTAACATCATAGAAGTGAATGACTCCATGAAATCGGTGGTTGTATATCAAATGTAACCGAAGATTAATTATTCAAGTTAAGCAAGAAAAAAAGGTTGCAAATTGCAGCGCACGTGCGAGTTTCGAACCGGTAACCACATGACTGCGAGCGAACTTTGTTATCATTTGCGCCATAATTTCTACTTATATGAATAAAAACTTGTATGAACAAAGATGGGATCCCCTACCTCCTCCAGTTCTTCTGTACACGGCTATCCGCATGTCAGCACCTGCAGCAACTATGGCCGACACAGTTGTTGCCAAAGCGTACGCGGCCACGGAATGCTTCATTGATCCCATCTTCACATATTGACCATTGGACTAAACAATTATAATAAAAGGATCTGAATTCTTTTCCAGTTTTTCATTCCCCTCGTTACTTTACAACTCAAACTTGTAAAAATTATTCATATGGCGATTTCCATGTACTTTAATTTGACATAGCAAATGAAGAGTTCGAAAAGAGGCAATGAACGCAAGCGAACAGAAAAAAATACTGAACTGTTTTTTTTTTAAATAACAGCGAATATCAAAGGGAAATAGAAAAAGAGCCACGAGCAGCTCAAGTTTTTAGAGAACTCTAACCAAAAAGATCTCAAGCCAACATCAGATAAAATAAACAGTCGAAAAACTGAAAAGGAGCGCTGGTACTCAAAACACAGAAAACTAAGATACTAGGTCAAAATATCGAAGCACAGATTTTTTGCGGAAGATGTTCTCATAGCACTCAAATTTTAAATTTGTATTAGAGATCTTGTTCTCCTGTTTGTAGATTTATTGCTTCTTATTTTTTAATTTATGATATCTATTAGCTCAAGAAATAGGAGAATTGGATATTTCACAATCGTACTTAATTATCAAGTCATTAGATTATATTTCAATTATATTTCAACTAACCTCTGCCCAGATGATAATTAAGCCATCGGCGTAGGAAGCCACGAAACCTCCATTTTCTGGACTGAAACGCAAGTTTGTGAGCATTTGTGAATTTAAGGGTGGTGCTAGACAACTTCACATAGATATGTCACTTACTTAGGTGCGAGTGCACAGACGAATGCTTGATAAGCGGGGACTACTTTCTGTGGAACGAGAAAATCTCCCTGTGTCTTTTTACTGTTTGTCTTGCACTTTCGAACTTCACCCTGCAAATTACCAACGAAGAAACACTTGTCGAACTCCTGGCCCAGCTCCAACCGTGGCCAGTATATACATGTAGGCGTTGATTCAAACAGAAATTTGTTGCTGATGCTTTTCTTTCCATCCCTGCAAATACAAATTGCCCAGCTTCTCATTTTTTTAATCAAACCCCCCCCCCCCGACTCAGCACCCACCTTTCAACTTTGAACCTATTACTCCGCGGGGGAGAACGTTTTTTGAACGTTCCTGAACATTGTTTGGAACTTCATCGCACTAGATTAAGCATGTGAATTAAAATCATAATATAATATATTGTTTCCAATATAGGTCTACATGCACAAAAAAAATCATAAATTATGATTTATCTTGAAACCCAGTCAGGGAGATCGTCATAAGACGAATTATGTCGGTTTTCAGACATAGCACAACAACTCGCAAAAAATAAAGCTCGCATAAAATGGCAATTATGGCAATTTTCAAAACGTAATATCTCGCAATAAATTCGTAAAATAACCCTTTAGTTACCCCTGAACTAAGTAATCCCCCACTAAATATCACTTAACCTTATACTTAACTCAAAACAACTATTGGGTAAAGTTATGAGTGCTTTTTGTTTCGTTTAACAACAAAAATTGAATCCAAAACCTTGATTGCGTTAATTGATATATAATCATTTTGGTTTCTAAATATGTTTCTACTCATTTGGATAATGTTGAAATTCACTGAAAGCCATCGCGGGAAACGAATCTTGATCTTTGAAGATGAAAAAATTAATTAGGTTCGATTAAATGAGAAACGCGAGTTAATCAGTTGGAGATGCTCAAAAACACCTTGCAAATCACAGTTTTTTAAAAGTGATGATTTATTTGAGGAGAAAAAAATGAACTATTTACATTCAGTGTTGCCCCATGAACGAGAAGTTGAAAAGTAAGTTTTCTACACGTGTCATAATCTTTTCACAATTTTTCACTTTAAATTGAAAGAAATTATGTTCATAAATGTGAAAAGCATGACCGTTAAACGTGCATAGAAGTTAGAAATCGGGGGGGGGGGGGGTGTAAGAAAAAAACAAACACTGACAAAAAGTTTCAAAAAATAGTCCTTACTAATTGCAGTACTTCTGGGGGCAAGAATTAAATTTTCCAAATTGTTTTCGTATCAAACTTAGAGAAAGAGAGCAAAACACGAAAGAACATCCCCGATCTATTGATCAAAACGTAACGAGCAACTTGTCTGAGGAGTGCGCAGCAAACATGCCTAAATTTACTTCGGTTGGAAGAGCAATTCAACAAGAAAGACTTTGGAGTTTTACCAAAGACCGTGGGGGATATCGCAATTCCTATGGAACTTCAAAAAACTGTAAAGTGGAAAAATTCTTGGCTCATGACTCGGGACCGGCGGATTCCGACCGACTTCTTGTGTTCGCCCCTGAGGCAAATTTGGACATTCTCGAGCGTTGCAAAACTTGGCACGCTGATGGCACATTGTAAGTTTTCCCTCATTACTCTATCAAGTATATACTGTAAATGCTGTTATAAATAACTGCTCCCGCCCAATCGTTTACTTTCTCTTGGAACCAAAAACTCAACAGCAATATCAACAAGCATTTCGTGTGGTACGTGAACTTAACACTTTATTAGAGCCAACAGAAATTGTTATTGATTTCGAAAAAGCAGCAATTCCTGCTTTCAAATCGGAATTCACCAGAGCGTCCGTAAAAGGGTGCTTTTTTCTTTTTGCGCAGGCCAATTGGCGAAAATTACAAGAATCAGGACTGGCGGTGGAATACAGAAAAGACAAAGACTTACGAAAGAAAGTGAAATCATTTTTTGCGCTGGCTCTCATTCCTGAATGCGAATTGAAGTTGGCACTAGAAGCCCTCTACGCAGCAACAACTGCAAACGAGCAGCTACGACCATACCTCGATTATTTCGATAAAAAACGTGGGGGGCGGAATATGTACATGGAATTCTACGGAACGATCCAGATTTCAAACCAGCTATATGGAATCAGTTCAGCAATGCGATAACTGGAAATTAAAAAAACCTACAATTCGGTCGAAGGATGGCATAAAGCTTTCCATTTAGGAAATTAGGCATGGGTTATGCTCACCCCATTGTATGAAAACTCATTCAGCAAACAAGGAGGGAGCAAAGTTAAACCAAAAATGGCCGGATTCGGTTGAAATCCAGAGAAAAGCCCTACAATTGTCCTAAATGAATAATTGCAACCAAGGATATCAAAAACTCTTCGCAACTATCAAAACAAGGATCTAATTTTGCAGCCGGAAGATCTTTTATTCAACTTAGAGATTTGAGAAATTTCGAGTTTCGGATAGACAAAGTTAACCAAAGATACTACTTGATTTATCTGTGAAAATTTTGTCTGCAAACGCTCATTTTTCAATTGGCATATCTCAAATACGCTTGAAATTTCAAATTCCATGAAAAATGAATCAAATTCGGCAGATCCGAATTTTTCGCTAGTCATTATGTAACTTGAGAGAATTTATTGTCTAAATCCTTTTGAAAAAAAAATTGACCACAATGGACTTGAAACTTCAACCGAATTTTGCATTTTAAGTCAAAAATCAATTTAAAACAATTGCGCTTTTTCAGAGACTTCATTGTTTTTACTAACTTCAAGGCCACACCTTCAAATTATATTTTTCAGTCATCAACGACCTGTCAAGGAAAAGCCACAGCAAAATTTTTCGTAACTTACACAAATTTGAGTAAAACTGGGAATTCGAAACAATTTTTCCAGACAGAGAGACAAGAAGTTCACCACTACCCCACGATTGAGAACTGTTTCGAACTTATAATTTTACACAAAACAAAAACAAATCAATTTGATGTTTAACGAAAAAAAAACCGAGCTAGTTTGCAACTTCAAGTTTTTTGCTCGGCAGGCTATATCTTATCTTCTTCAATACCTACACTGCGATGAATTCCTGTCACGAGAACTAAGTCAAACTAGAAGTCTTGATAAAACTAGGGCCAAATCGTATCGTCGTAGGTCTCTGCTTCGCCTCAATCATGTCTCGGCACTATTTCACCGCATTTTATCTCGACTCAAATTTTAAGTTAAACACCGAAAAAAAGCAAACGCAAAAAATTTCCAATAACTATTTTGAATGATTTATAGCTTGAAGATCGTAACTATTTCGAAATTCCATAACATCGTCCAATAAAGTTGTTATTAACTATAAAAAATTAATATGAAAAACACACGGAAAATAGAACTGTGAGCGTTAAATTAGCATTGACACAAAATTACCAAGCGGTAACTGAACCAACAAAAAATGGGTAGATGCCCGTTGAGCCAAAAAAAATAAATAAAACTTTCGAAACTCGATGTTTGGATTATTGCCACCCGGAGAACACACGAATAAAAGTTCTTTTTCGCCCTAAAAAAGACGCAATATCGCAACTGAGCCATATAACACAAGTCGAAACCATTTAAGCCAAAGTAAACCTTAAAGGCGAAAAAGTTTTGAAGCTTTTATGTAAAGTCTTGAAACTCCATCAAATGCCCCTTACGAATGTTGGAATGCTTTAAAGGAGAAATAGCTGGACATTTTTTTTGGAACTTTATCGCACTAGATTAAGCATGTGAACAAAAATCATATTAGAGTATATTGTTTCCAATATAGGTCCACATTCACAAAAAAAAATACAAATTATCATTTATCTTAAGACCCAGTCAGGGAGATTGCCATAAGACGAATTATAACTGTTTTCAGACAACACAACTCGCAAAAAGACAACTCTTAAAAAATGGCAACTCGTATAAAAGATAACTCTAGGGGAGCGTACAGGCACACAGGGGAGTAGACGAACTTTCAATTGATAAACCCTTTTTCGAAACCAGCTTCAACTAAAATTTTTCCAATGAATTTGGAGATACTTTTCCATTATGAAAAAAAAATCACTGAACCGATTGGTAAACATACAAGCAACGTTTGGTAAACATACAAGCAATCGTTTTTTTAAGCGAAACACAAAACCCAAGAAGGAAATACGAAGTCAAGGTAAGTAAAAATACAAATTGTAGGATTCAAGTTAAACAAAAAAAGAAGTAAACACGAAGTCAAGGTAAGTAGAATTACAAAGAAGAATTGTAGGAGTAAATCAAACACTAAAAACGCTGATGGCACATTGTAAGTTTTCCCTCATTAATCTATCAAGTATATACTGTAAATGCTGTTATAAATAACTGCTCCCGCCCAATCGTTTACTTTCTCTTGGAACGAAAAACTCAACAGCAATATCAACAAGCATTTCGTGTGGTACGTGAACTTAACACTTTATTAGAGCCAACAGAAATTTTTATTGATTTCGAAAAAGCAGCAATTCCTGCTTTCAAATCGGAATTCACCAGAGCGTCCGTAAAAGGGTGCTTTTTTCTTTTTGCGCAGGCCAATTGGCGAAAATTACAAGAATCAGGACTGGCGGTGGAATACAGAAAAGACAAAGACTTACGAAAGAAAGTGAAATCATTTATTGCGCTGGCTCTCATTCCTGAATGCGAATTGAAGTTGGCACTAGAAGCCCTCTATGCAGCAACAACTGCAAACGAGCAGCTACGACCATACCTCGATTATTTCGATAAAAAACGTGGGGGGCGGAATATGTACATTGAATTCTACGGAACGATCCAGATTTCAAACCAGCTATATGGAATCAGTTCAGCAATGCGATAACTGGAAATTAAAAAACCTACAATTCGGTCGAAGGATGGCATAAAGCTTTCCATTTAGGAAATTAGGCATGGGTTATGCTCACCCCATTGTATGAAAACTCATTCAGCAAACAAGGAGGGAGCAAAGTGAAACCAAAAATGGCCGGATTCGGTTGAAATCCAGAGAAAAGCCCTACAATTGTCCTAAATGAATAATTGCAACCAAGGATATCAAAAACTCTTCGCAACTATCAAAACAAGGATCTAATTTTGCAGCCGGAAGATCTTTTATTCAACTTAGAGATTTGAGAAATTTCGAGTTTCGGATAGACAAAGTTAACCAAAGATACTAATTGATTTATCTGTGAAAATTTTGTCTGCAAACGCTCATTTTTCAATTGGCATATCTCAAATACGCTTGAAATTTCAAATTCCATGAAAAA